GCATCGGGGCTGGTTGGCTCATCTGTGGGAAGGTGGAGGGAGGGAGGGAGGCAGGAGGAGAGGAAAAGGTGAAAGAGAAGAAGGAGATTAGGTGTTAGAGAAAAAGGTCAGAGGGGAAGGGGTGAGGAAGCAGAGGTTAGGTTAGGAGAAGGTAAGGTAAGGAGAGGTTTTTAAGGGAGAGGAACGATGAGGAACTACAGGGTTACTGTCAGAGACACAACAAACGAATGCACTTTACACTTTCCTTTTCTTTCACCTGATCTTGAAATATAATTCTTTCAACTGCAGAATCAGCACATGCAAGAATCATACTCCAACAAGAGGCGATTCTATGAAAGCCAGACCACAAACACAAACGTTTATGGTCTGAAGCAAACAAAAAAAACAGCTAAAAGGGGTTAAAACCTGTGCAACTGTATCGCCAAAAGAAAAACAATACAAATGCAACCTGACAAAAAGTTACGCATCCACATGGCAAATCAGACAAATAGCTTTCAGATAATACAGTACCTGCGTCTCCTGCTGCCATTAGAAGAGCTAATCAGTAGCTAACAGAGGGGGGTTTTGTCACAGACATTCTCTGGCTTCAAGTTTCAGTTCTTTAGGAAATCTACAGTAGTGTGTGAGCTGACACATAGAGAAACTGTCACAATTCAACAAGTAAAAAAACAGATTACCATGGGTAATAAATGCAGATATTCAGCCGTACTTTTACACCATGGATGAAATCTGAGTGTTTAAGAAGCCAGAGGAATAAAGCAATATTATAAGTCACATAGGCTAAAAGTCTGTAGCACGTTCAGCTGATGTAAAGGGATATGAAACTGCAGCACACACACGCTTGCATGCATGCACACACACAAGACTTCCTTAGTGAGGAAGAGGATTAGAGGCTGTGGTGATATCTGTATAAAGTGAGGAGAAGATGGATGTGTTGCTGACATTTTATACTGCCAGGAGTAAAACGTTGCAAGGTTTGCTCCACATGGAAACAACAGAGGGCAGAACAGCCTCAGACAGCTCTGCCGACCGGACGGACTCTGGCTGAGATCCACACCCGCTGACCGCCATTTAGAACTTTTGAGAATTCTTGCTAGGGTTTCTCAGTTTTCATCCCACACCTGCTTTTGTTTCTTTTTTTATTTTCCTCTCTTTTTCAGCTCTTTCCTTTTCTGTCTGTCTCTCCTTCCCTCTGGCTTACTTCTATCTCCCATCCTGACTCCTGTTGATACTAGAGCCTGGCATAAAGCAGAAAACATTCCCAATCTGGGATGAGGAATCTGCCTGTTTACAGCACGGTCCAGAAATAGCCGGGCTGTGGGTTTAACAAAGGCTGTCATTAACAGGCAGCCAGAGAATGAACTCAGAACCACGAGACAGGGAAGGACCAGCAGAGGGGAGCAACATACCACACCACACTGTTACTCTCTATGTCCAGTGTTATATTATATATAGAACTCAGTGTTCAGAGATTAGAAGGGTAAGATGAGTGAAGAAAAAGGGGAGAGCAAATAAAGGACTAAAGGTGACTAAAATCTTCTTTAAAACTGGCTGTGAAAATGCACCGGATCTCTAGGTTTGGTGAGTTTTACTCTTTCTGGTGCCTTGGATTATTACATGGTCCTATAAGGATGAAACTCACCAGTCTCTTAAAAAGCGCAGTGCAACAAAGCAGTTGGAGTTTGGTTACCACCAACAAAACAAAACTTTTTTTGATACCTTAATCTGAGAAATGTAAAAATGTTTCTCATGTTGTGCAGCTGTCCAGGAACGGCCTAAATAAAACAGGCCCAAACCTTGAAAACTGTGATTTAAATCTGCAAAAGTCAGATTTTGTTGACTCAGTAATTCATCATTTGGTCTATAAAATGTCATAAAAGGGTTAAATATGGAGATCACACTGTCCCAGACATAAAAAAGACTTACAAGATGAACTAACTGCTTCAGTTTTAAAAAGAAAAAATAACTATTACTAAGCCACTTTTGGTATTTGACAATTTTCTATACTTGGTGTTACAGCTGCACTTTGGTCAGTTCAGTGCTTTGACCTGGTTAAACCGTGTTAAACAGCGTAGAACAAATGAATGAGGAAAAATGAAAGAATGAGACTGAGAGCCAGAGAAAAACAAGACAGATCCCAGAGAAACAAGACAGAGGGGACAAGAAGCCTTTTGGAAGCAGAACTGAAGCCAATACAGTTTTGGGCATGGTCTGTTGTGTCCAGGGTCCAGCTGGTAAAGACAATCACAGACTGAACCCCCACACAGGCACACACACCCCTTCATCTTCTAGAGCCGCACTGAGGATAGGAGCTCCTACTGTTCCCCACCACAAAAACCTCCTGGTAATTTACAGATTCATGTTGAAAGACTAAGTGGGTGCAGAGTAAAATACTGCTTCCTATTTTATTCTCTTTGCATTAACTACCAAAACCATCCATCCATATGAGATGTGATGAAACATATTTGACGTCAGATAAACATGCTTTGGTGCTCACTGCCTCACAGATAAGAACAGCAGCAGCCTGTCAAACTGCAAGTTCCCAAACGGGCCCAGATCAGCAAATCTATCAGAGAGATAAAGACATAGAGATATGAAGAAGAAGGAGAAGAAGCTAGTTTTTGTCTATGAGGTGGTTTCAGTTTATGGACATTAAACATGCCCTGGCCTGCAGCTCTGACTGCCTGGTTTCGTTTAATTCAGGCGAAGGTACGAGGCAAGAATGTGCTCTGACAGACAGACTGAGAGAGAGGCAGAGAGATGCCTCCTAATATGCTGATCCAGTGGATTTTCTCTCTTTAAATGACTTTCTCTCGGTGGTTTGGCTCAAAGTTCAACAGTCATTCCCAGCTGGGCCAAAGCCTTAAAATCAGCTGATTTGAATCTGTTTGGCATTAGGGTAAGCAGCGATTGTTTTCCTCAGGCTGTGACAGGGTGATGGAGGCACGGCTTGTCTGACTGACTAACATCATTTGCCTATGGTTTGGCTTAATGTCTGCTCTCCATGTCAAATAATACAAACCAGTATGACGCCTGCAGAGCCCTGTTTTCTTTCAGTCTTTTCTGATCGGGAACAAGCTGAGACATGCCTATACAGTGGTAAGGTGCCCCTGACACCAACATATAGGCCATAACTATACAGTATATGTTCATACACACAGTTGTGGCAAGTAACTAAATACATTTACTCAAGTACTATACTTAAGTACAACTTTGATGTACTTGTCCTTTAGTGGAGTATGTCCATGCACTGTTACTTTTACTCCACTACAATTTAAAAGGGACATTTTGTACTTTTTACTCACTACATTTATTTGACAGTTACTTGGATTCAGATTCTTCAAATAATAAATGATGATGTAGACTTTAATATGGATTAACCACAGAAAGTGGCTAAAAATTGTCTCACTTTTAGCAGCTGTGCTGTTTTCATTCCGCACCAATTTACTATATAGCAACATTATTTTTGACTTAATTATAAGAAATTTTTCTTTGTCATATTTTTCACTTTTGAAAGTTTGTTGAGCAAATGTGGACTAAACCTGCACAGTCATGTAAACAACAGCATCAAATTCTATAATGTTTAAACTACATCGCTTTCTTAGTGGAGTATTTGTACTTTGCTACTTTAAGTACTTAGTACTTCAACTTGAGTAAAAGATTTGAAGTGGTACCTCCACTTATAGGTACTGCTTAAACACAAACACACACAAGCACTGGGGAAGTCAGACTCTACCTCATTACTTCAGGCCTACCTACCTTAGAGGCCGGGGGCAGGTTACAGGATTAGTGAACTCCTGCCAGATATGATTCAAGCAAAACTATTACTACTGTCTATATGACTGTGCTTCGGTATTACCCAACACAAATATTCACTGACAAATACACACACGTGCAGATTCTCAGTGAGAGAATGGAAACTGCTTCTGAGAAGAGCCTGGAGCCTGGACAAGTAGGAAATTAAGGGAACACACACACGCATTCCCCCAAACTCATAATTTTGTCCAATTTATAGCCTTGCATTTCCTCCCACTTAAGCTTTCACTAACATTTAATAAACACTGTGGGCTACATGTTAGAAAAGAGGCATGAAATTTAAAGGTCATTCTGAGGTTTGGTGAAGTAGAAGAGATATGGGATGGAACCCAGAAGCTCCTTACTTACCTATGAAGGGTATGGAGGCCAGAGAGTCATCCTCTGCGAGGAGTGGGGCGAGGCTGCCATTTGGTTTGCGTTGGACTACATCTCCTGTGGAACCAGGAACGGGGGCTGTGTCCTGGGGATCAGGAGAAAACAAAGAGGGTTCTAGCTCATCCACAGGCAAGGCGTAGTGGGGATGACGTATGCCATAGGCATTCCTCCGACCAGTGGGAGGTTTCTGCCTCAGCACTACCTCCTGGCTCTGTGACACCATCTCTACCTGCCCCTCCACTGCCCCTCGTTCCCTCTCGTGGTTTGTTGGCCTGTACGCCTTCTCCTGGGATTCAGGAGTGGTGGAAGCAAGGGGAGACGCTGTAGAAGTGGCGAGATGTGCCACTGTGCCCTCTGGGGGGCTGGTTTTAGGCGTTGGGTTCCAGTTCAAGTGGGGGCCAGAGTATGATGGGTCCTTGAAAGAGTGGGCTTGCTGCATGATGCGGCCTGTCTTACGGTAAAAAGAGGGACTGTAGCTACGGTAGCCCACCGGCTGGTCGTCCATGCTCTGCCCAGGGGGAAGTCGCCGGCTCTGGGGAGCAGTTGGTTGGGGTTGTGCCTGGGAGTGGGCCTGAGTTTTTATCTGTTGGTGGCATTTAGACTGTGACTGTGAGTGTCGGGACATCGGAGGAGCTTGTGCTGCACCGTGATGGCTCCCCTGCCTTGGGGAGGCGTCAGTCCGGGGGGGCAGCTGGGGAGCCTGCTGGAGCCAAGAGGGCCTGTCTGACCGAGATGAGACCAGTCCAGCTGCTGTTCGGTCCAGCATCTCTAACGAGCGGCCGTGGCGATCATACTGGGCCAGCAGGTTTTCAGAGCGAGTTCGGGTATAGTTCGAGGCGGGGTGACCCCTACCTGACCCCCCCTCCCACTCGCTGTATGACCAGTGGGGCTCACCATGGGGTCCTGGTCCTGACTGCTGTAGCAACAGCAGAGTTTCCTGGGAGGAGCTGTGTGGCCAGCCACCTGTCCGCTGCTGCTGCCTCCTTGTTTCACTGAGCCGATCCTGAGAGTAGCTGCGGTGGCGGGTCTGCATGCTGCGTCCTGAACGGTCAGGCAGCTGGCTGTAGTACCAGTTAGAAAGTGCCTGCTGGCAGCGCTCGTTGCGGCTGTTGCTGAGATGGGGCAGGGGGGGACTGGTCCAGGCCGAATTAGACTTGTGTGGCTGAGCCTGCGAAGAGCTGGGAACATGGTGGTTGGGGTGGTGGACTTGTAGAGGGCTGGACAAGGGACCGCCTGATGACGATGACGAAGAGTAGGAGCGCCTCCGGGTCTGGTCCTGAGGCTGCTGGCCAGTCATACCGTACTGGATCTCCTCTGTGCGGTGGGCTGGGCTGCTGTGACCCACACCACCTGGCTCTCCTGCCTGTCCCTCCTGCCAGCTGGCAGGGCTGCCCATAGCAGAGCGGTTGTCCAGGGGTGAAGAGGGACTAGAAGAGCCTGGCCAGCGACTCCAGTTATCCAGCTGGTTCTGGCCCATGGAGGCAGATGGAGGGGATGTGGTCTTGGTGTGTGGGTAACAGAGGGGAGGTGGTGGTGGGAGGTTTTCAGCTCTCCCTGAATAGGGCCTGTTCCCGGTCAGGTAGGCATCCTGGGAGTACGCCTGGAGGGGGGACAGGAGACAGCATGACAGTAAGAAAGCCTGAAGTTAAGGTGAGTATGTGTGGCAGTGATGACTTTAATACAAAATGTGCTCTTAATCAAGTTAGACAACAGTAAATACCATAATCTCTATCAGACAGCTTCATGTTGCTACACATTACACAACAGGTTTTAAACTGAAATAGTCTCTCAGCTCAGTCCTTTTGTCACAGTTTGTCCCCAGGGCCTCAGCCCTTAATACAAACCCATGCTAGCCAGAAAACTGCATGAAGTGCCTTCAGCAAAAGCCACAACACTCACTGCACAGCAGCAGCCAGATGCAAATACACATACAGGACATATATATGTATACTGCTTTTAGAGAAACTTTTACAAGTAACAAGCTTATAATTAACCAATCAGTCACACTGTCATATTTAAAGCATCACTTACTGCACTGACTCGTCTTTATAACAGTGGGAGAATAAAAACACACTTGCTAACAATCCGTTTACCACTTGCAACAGACGAAAACTAAATCAGACGGTCTGAAAACTTTCGAGCTTTACCTAACTGATCTTTGCGTGCACCAGAATCCAAAACCTTTCCTCAGCCTGCGTTTTAAGCTTGAAGTCACCACAAACAGAAACAGAGAAAAGTAGAGGACAAGACAGGACACTAATCCTCAGAAGCACTCCTGACACAACACTCCTGCTGCTAAAATCTGCCGTCCTTCAGTTTTTACCCGCTCTTTCTCTCAGAAACATTCAATCGTTTGCTGTTGTCTTTTACTTTGTTGGTGAGTTTTTTATCTGTTGATCTTCTTCTTTGCTCCTCTCTTGGTTCCTTCCAAACACCTTCTCTCTTCCCTCTCATTCTCTGTCTCACTCCACCCTGTGGGAGTGTGGAGGGAGGTACAGCTCTGCTGATGTAATGCTAGGAATGCAGCAGATACAGGCGTAGCAGCGAGGGGAGGAGTGTGGTGTGAGGACAGAAGAGTTTATAATGTTAAGACAAAGCTGTATAGAAAATCGAGAATCCAATTTTGAGCTCTTCTGGCAGGAATACTGATGCTTCTGAATGTGTGAGAAGGATCACGTAAATCCGGTGATCTGGTTTTGTGTGTTGACATGTTGCTCCAGGTTAATGGGAGGGGTAAGCTACGATGCATGTCTGGTCATGTGAGTGTGCATGGAGCAACCTGTGGAGTGATAAAAATGTGTTGTGCAGTGCATGGGCGTATGAATGAGCACAGGGCTGTTTTTTCATATGCTTCGAAAGTCGGGACACTAGTGGCTTTTGATGAATGTATTTTGTAATCTAAAGGACCTCTGAGTCACTCTCCAGCCACTCAAACAACATCCGCACATTCTCCAAGTGTGACTCGCTGAAGCCTGGTTCAACTCTGCAAACAAGCACAGTTTTCTAAAGTGTCCTTAAAAAAATACTAAAACAAAAAACTTATGTGATTGCGCATGGCATGTATCTGTGTAATGCATAACATGTGTAGGTTAGTTTGGTGGGTTTTTTTTAGGGTAAGGTGTGTGAAAAATCCCATACTCACACTTACCAATTGGAGCACGTCTTCATCTTTTGGCATAATGGAGAGCTCCAACACACACTCACTGAAGAGAGGATAGGAAGAATAAGATAAACAAGAGATAGAGATGAAAAACAGACATGGAGAAAAATGAGAGTTCACATGGTGCCTAAGACATAACAACAGACAAATGTTTATTACCAATAATTAATCACCCGACTAGTTTATAGACAGCTTTAACTAAAACTAGCATCAGTCCTGCTGATGTGGGTGCCACTTACATTGGAGTCAGTAGTCACTACTGGATCAAGTCAGATGCAACTGACCCCCATTTCACTGTCAAAGCCACTAAACAGTTTAGCGTTTCCAATGCCATTTACATTTATCACATACTCTGTTTTTAGTGCCACAAAAATCTCTGGCCTCGTTAGTTTTCACACAGTGAGGTATACTGATTCTAAATTTGGGGACACAAGACCTGTGGTATCAGACTGGATCTGTCTGAGGTTTCTTCTGTTAAAGGGAATTTTTTCCTCCCCAGTTTGACAAGTGCTTGCTCAAGGGTGATTTCTTGAGTTTTTCTCAATAGTGTAAATAAGTAAATAAATAACAATCTCTATACCTTACTATGGAAAGTGCCCTAAGGTGATAGTTGTTGTGATTTGGCGCTATACAAATACAACTGAAATGAAATGGACTGGCCTGGATTTCAGGGTCAGCAACTACCGAGGGTAATAAAATTAAAACTCTAACTTTCAGATAACTATCTAGCAAAAAAAGAAAACATTGACAAGCTTATCAAGATTATTTTTGAATAATGGACTTTAAGATTAAAAAAACACTATGCCACCTCAGTGGAAAGTCTGCAGATGGTTCAGTTAATCAACATAAAGGCACAAAGCGCAGGCAGGGAGGAGGTCGTACCTGTTCTGAATGAGGGCGATCACCTGCGAATACGTCTTCCCTAGAACACTCTCTCCATTCACTTTCACCAGTCGATCCCCTGCAGGACGCAGACATATCATCATACTGAGTGCACCACATTTCACAAGATACATTTCCCTAGGTTGATCTCTGACCTTTTAAGCAGATGCAAATCTCTTGTGATGGTTTTCCAAGCCTGGCCATGGAGAGAATGAGTACAAACCCTTTTTCCCTGAGAGGCCAAGGCTTGTGTTTAGAAACAGGACTACTGCAGGTGGCTATCAAAGTAAAAGTGTCGGTCAGTAATATCCTCATTTACTATACTATCCTATAGACCATCCTATGTTCCACTGAGCAAGGTGTGCCTAATTCCAACAAAACTAAACAAACATGCAGTAAGCTTATCTGGCTGCATTATCTGGCATTCACCATACCTCAGCTTTAGTAAATTAAAATTTCACTTGTAGATTTTATTATTTTACTATTTATTGCAAAAAGAAAAGATTGATGCCCCTAACATGTATTAAAGGGAATATCTTTTTAAAAAACATAAAAAACAAACAAATGTTCTTTGTGGTCTGTTTGTGATCTGAGCTTCCTCTAGAAGACTTTTGTACCAGTACCATTTGTCCCCAGATTCACACTCACTATAAGTGGGTTGGCAAAGCCGTGCCAGCAACATAAAACACAGAGCTGTCAGCACTGCACAGCGTTTTGTGACCTGAAGCCCCATGAAAGACATTAGACAACTTGTATTTGTGTGTTTATATATGCTCACGCTGGCATGTAGCATTTTAGATGTAAAAGATTGCATTTAAATGTACACAGAGTAGTGGTTTGGTGTGTGGGAGTGGACTGCTGCAACACCCGACAAGCACACTTATAGCTCTTTAACTTTCAAATGCTCTTGGAGAACTTGAGTTGTCATACTGGTATCTGTGTTATCACCAGCATTGATGTTAAAAAACAAAAGCCTCATATCTAGTGAAGGATGACCTAGTAAGTAAGTAAACCCCTCTCTACACTGGGCACATCACTGTACATCTGGAGCATCACATGACCGGAGCTGTCTCCAGAAGATTTACAATGCAAATCACTAGGTTCCCCTTACCTGTGCACAGGCCTGCCTGGTGGGCTGGACCTTTTTCTCTCACATTCTTGACAAATATGGTGTCCATAGGCTCCAGTCGACCTTTCTGATACTCTAAAATGACAAAAAAAAAAAAAAAACAAAGAAGAAGAAAAACAAAGTTCAGCAACTGAACCTGCTGAATTTTAAAGACAAATCTCCTTTTAGAAATAAACGTTAGGTTGTTTTGCTGTTTAATGTTAAGCTCTTTTGAGTACTTCTGCTTATGACTTTATAAACCTGTGGAATATACTAATACTTTTCTATTACTGCTCTCATGTGTCTAAGTTAGGTGTAGTGTTGCACAGCGTCCTGTAGGGGGCAGAGACAGGCCATAGAGCAAAGGTGACAGGAGGGAATACAGGAGGTCTCGGCTCATTACGTCATCTCTATCCTACCATTAAAAAGGAGGAGAGCAATAGAGGCCATTTACCTTTTCCGTTTCCATTCTCCTCATCCTGCCAGGAACAGACACAGACAGAATTACTGCTCAGATTCAAGCCACAATAAATATATTTATGGAAAACAACCAGTGTGGAAGGGCTTCAGAGAGACATAAAAAAAACAGGCAAATCACTGTAACAGACAAACTTAAAACAGCATTATTAATTAACAAAATTCTAATTCCACTGTGAAAAAATGGACTAGGGAATTTATTTAGACTGATTATAAGATAGGAACATGTGTGTTATTGTAGCTGGCCATTTAGTATCTGACAATGTGGTGATTGAAGCAAAAACAAAGTCTGTCACTGTTTTCACAGGCAGATTCAGGGTTTACATCTTGAGGGACACAGTTCCTCAAATATGATACTGTCTTGAGGGTTTTTATTTTACAGCATCATCACAAATAAAGGTGCTCATGGTCCAGGTTTAAATAATGAATTGTCAGTTCAAAGTCTAAACTGTCTTGCCAAGCAAAGCAAGACTTGACAGACTAGTTTTGAATGTTTTCACATAAAAATTCACCTGCATACATTTACCACATCACTACTCCAGTGTCTGATATCTACATCTTCAACAGCTCCAGATCAGGGGTGGAGTTCCTAGTAACCTGTTACAAGTTTCCCACAATGTCAGTGACATTCCTGGCACCTGGAGCCAAGTCTGTTTGTTTTTCAGTGCAGCCCAGATACAGACTTTCAGGTTAGACAGTCTGCAGGTAATCACGACATCACTGGGGCAAACATATCAGAACTGAGTGGCAGTGCTAGTGCTAGCTAACTGATAGCTGCAGCTTGTCTGATTACCTACACACACACACACACACACACACGGGCGTTCTAAGCTGAGTGGACAGTTTGGGGTTAGGGGCACGGTGGGCGGGCTGCTGTCCGGCTTTATGCTGCGCTGAGTGGGCTCATTCCAGGCTCTGCATACAATGATGGGGGGTTTAGAGGCAGAGAAAAGAAAGCTGCCGGCCCCAGAAGGGAGCTCCAAGCTGGGGACGTACACCAACTAACCAGCCCAGGTCTGAGCACATCCAGGACTGACTAGGAGATAGAGAGACAGGCACAAGCCACTGTATCTTGGTCAACTACTGAACACAGCTGTTCAACACCTGTACATTTGGAAACAGCTGGTAAAAGGTCTATACATGTACAAACCTACTCATCCCAATGCTTCTGCAGAATATAATAAAACATTGTACTCTAACTAAAAAGCACATTTTTAATCCAAGCTTCAGTATATCAAATTGAAGTCATGGAGAAAAAGTGTCACAAAAGTCTGTTTCAAATTGCAGCAGGCACAAGTTCCACAAGGTTGCAGGTGCATTGAGAGGGAGAGAATGAGCAATCCTGGACACAGTAGCTATTTTTGAAGAAATACATGAATCCTGATGGGACCTTTCCTTTGCATAATATCACTGAAAACTTTTGAAGACTTTCAGGATCTGCAAACACAATGTAATGAACTCCGCAGGCCTCTGATAATTGGACACCATGAGGGAAATTTGGGTGATTTCTACAAAGGTTCTTCGATAAGAATGGGTGGCTCTGTCACTCTGTTACCATGTGACCCTCATGGCAGAGGAGACGAGGACAGAACCAGGTCCAAAGGCCAGCAGTGGGCCTATTGTCTGGGGCTGGCCTGGTACGGCCTGACCGCCAGGGAGTGGTACTAGGCTAAGACAACAGATCTCATTCAATCTGTGTTCCTATCTGCAGCTGCTGGATGGTGGGGTTGTAGAATAATAACAGCGGACTTGTTTCAGCTGGCTCAGCCCACCCCAGCCTCCATACGCTCAGTTTCACATCTGGAGCCGTTTGCCCCCACACCTCAAAAAGCTAAATAACTCGCTGGTTCCAAAACACCAGAACAAACATGAATTCAACAAGAGCTAAAAAAGGCCTGTGAAGTAAACACTGGGCTGTCTGTGTGGGTCTGGAAGAGCTTTTCATACTCTTTAAAATATGAAATAATGCTGTTCATTACAAGCCTAGGTTTTTTATTCTGTCTTCAAATCTTGTTGCCCCTTCCTTTAGTAACATTTGTAACAGCTTTGGTTTGTTCGGTCTGTTTAGGCTCGTTCTGTCCTGCTGTCTGAGTGTTCATTCTGTTCAGCAAACCCTCGCTGACCCTCGGCTGCAACATGACCGATTTTATTTGGGGGTGGCTGTGGCTCAGGAGGTAGAGCGGGTCGTTTCCTAACCGGAGGATTAGCGGTTTGATTCCCGGCTTGTCCAGTCAACATGTCGAGGTGTCCTTGAGCAAGACACTGAACCCCCAGTTGCTCCCGGTGATGTCACTGGTGTGTGAATGCGTGAGTGCTTGGGAGTGCGAATGGGTGAATGGCCGAATAATGTGAAAGCGCTTTGAGTGTGCTGTAAAAGCATAGAAAGGCGCTATACAAGTATAAGACCATTTATCTCAGAAATCAAACTGTGTTCAGCAAGGCTTATGTAAACCCTTTTAAATGCCAGCTAGGATCAAATAAAGACCATGTGTGTTGTAAAAATAAGCTTGGAATATTAAAAAGGGCTTAACAACAAAATATAAGACCTCTACATAAAACTGTATACAGTGTATTTAATGAAATTCTAAATCTTGAATCTTGACGCAAGACTTTCTTGAACTTATCAGGGACCTGTTGATATATATGGGTCTCACCGTGAGGGTGGTGTGCAGGGCGGACTCTGGAGGGTAGACAATGAAATGCCGTAGCGTGAATCCAAATCCCTGGGAGTTCTTACGGAGGACCAGAGTCCGGGGACCTTTCCAGCCTCCGGCAACCCCCTCTCTTCCTGCCCGGGTCGCCATCGGCGGCCGAGGGTTGTCACCAGTTGAGGAGAGACCATCCCTCCACCCCTTAGCCTGTAGATACACAGACAGAGAGATTTAGAGAAATGATCCCCAATGGTAAAAAAAACCTGCTTTTAGACACAATATATTGTTAAAGAATACAACAAATAGGGAGATTTTGAGCATAAGAATAAATTAATTATGACACAGGGTCTTTGGACTGATAATGTTTGGTGGCGTCACAGTGGAGCAGTGGTTAGCACCGTCACCTCACAGCAGGAGGGGTCAACCTCATGGCTGACTGGGTCCTTTCTGTGTGGAGTTTGCATGTTCTCCCCCCAGCCTGTGCGGGTTTTTTCTGAGTACTCCAGCTTCCTCCCACAGTCCAAAGACATGTAGGGTAGGTTATCTGGTGACTCTAAACTGCTAGGTGTGACTGGTTGTCTCTATGTGCCCTGTGATAGACTGGCGTCCTGTTCAGGGCGTACTCCACCTCTGGGACTGCGTCTGCTTGGATCAGCTCCTACTGTTCTTTCTTAATTAGCATTATCACTGAAGAAATATTCCCATTTTCCAGATGCAACACACTTTATGATTCCCTGGAGATGCACAAGGTAACTCTACAGTCAGACCACAGGCCAGGGCTGTCAGAGAATGGGTACTATCTTAGCAGCTTCCTCACGCAGTCCTCAATGTAGCTCAGAATCAGGTCAGTCATTCACGCCACCCAACCACAGAATAACAGTCCATAAAGATGCAGGGGTGGGGGAAGGACCTAGTCGAGACAGGACCAAGGAGGGAATGTAGGAGTCCAGTTCTGACGCCACTGGCCTCAGTCTTGTGACATGGAAAGAAGGTCCACACAAGAAATCTGAACTCTAAGTGGAGAATAAAGGCAGATTTCCACCCAGTCCTTAAATATCTCATTCCTCCTGCAGAACAAATAACCCCAGCAAGCTCAGCTGACAGACACGCGTGAGAACTATCACCATCATGTTGCCTCAATGACCCACATATGTCACTCAAACACAATCATCTGACCAAACAGGCGGAATGAGGAGGAGGAGGAATCATCACGTCAGCTCAGAGGTCAGGTCTGCTGTGGGCTCGGTTATCTCCTCACTATCAACCTTTTATTGGTAAAACCGAACTCACTCAGCTCTGTCTTCATGACTGAAAAAACAAATTCTGTGTGTCAACCCAGTCTATCAATCAACCAACGCTTGAGAATTTTGTATTCATTTTTGAAAACATTCACACTGAAAAATGCTGGCATGTAAAATTTAGACTATGAATTCATACAAGATGCAAATCAACAAACAAACAGCACCTCAGTGTACAACAAAGAGACATGTCTACATTGCCAGTGTGGTTTTGTGTGCGTGTCATTTTAAACTGCATTTTATCTGCCTGCATAACTGGGCCTAAATAAACCAGCAAGCGTTGGATTAATACTATGATTTATGAGTAAAACAACAAACTGGCTAAATTGCTGTGTATTTCTTCAAATTCTGTGGTTGTGTTTTCAGTGTGAGAATGTGTGTTTTTACGTTAGGAAGCCAGAGGTGAACACGTCGAGGCTACAACACTGACCCCCCCAAAATGCACACCCCATGTTTCACTTCCTGCTCCCCTTCCACACACAGATACACACTGATATAGAACAGACACACACACACTTGACCTGGCAGGCCCATATACGGCCACACAACAACAGGAAGTGGCAGGCTGGAGGCAGGAAGTGGGGCAGTGTTGCAGGGTGGGATAACCAGACGCTAGTATAAATATAACCGCTCCGAGCTCTTACCCTCCATCTTGGAGGCACTTCCACTCCCTCGCTCCTCTTTCTCCTTCCTTCCTTTTGCTTTCTCTCTCCTCCCTTCTACCTCTTTTGTGTAATGGAAATCCGGCTGCGCTGACATTTACCACACATTTTCTTCCTCCTCTACATTCATATTCCATCCCAGGAAAAAGAGACCACAAATAGATTTCTTTTTGAAATAATTCTCAGTTTGCACACGCATGCTGAGGAAAACTATGTTCTCTTCAGCGTGTTCAAATAAAGTTTTGGCCAATCTTGCTCAAAGTTTAGACTGGCATTTTAAACAATATAAAGTAACCCCTTCTCAAAGAGGAGAGCAGCATTAAGAGTGCGAGGAAGCTGTGGGAGATTGTCTGGGGTGTCAAATTAAAATGATGAAGAAAAAGAAAAGGCCAAGCGTTAAAAAAAGAGGAAATGAAAGAGCACAAGGGTGAACGGAGGAAGAGGCAGGGTGAATTCCTCAGAGGGAGCGGTTTGGATTCGACAAGTTGAAACACACACTGTAACTGTCAGAGGAGGGGAGGGAGCAACGAGAGACGTGAATGAGAGGAGAGGGATGAGGAGGATGTAGAGGAGGAGTATCAGGGCCCAGCAAAGGACAGGCTCCAGCACGCTGGTTTCGACCGCATGGCCCCTCCCGGCACTGAGAATACCAAACCCTGTGATTACCCAAAACACACAGAGTTTGACTGGGTCTCGGAGCCAGCGTCATTTCCCACTCGGCTGTCTGGACTGTTGCTCGGCCATTCTTCTAAGTCTACAGTTGACTGTTTTCCCCTGAAGCCAGAAAAACTCCTCTCTCGTACTTGTCACCTTGATATGATCACACTGCCTCCTTCCACTTTAGTTTTCACGCAAAAGCAAAAAGATGATGCAAACTTGCTGACATGCACTGGCCTTTGCAGACAGCTGGACACTCAGTTTAACCAACTTGGAAATGTTTTGTCTGTGGCGTTCAGGCTAAACTTGACTTCCTATGCAAGCTCGGGACACAGACAAGGGAAACCTCATTCTTGTTTTGCTGAAAAAAGAAGCCATTTGGTATTTCCAGCTCTCCTACTGGGAATTTCTACAGTTTAACACCATTTCTTTTCATAAAATCTGGATGTATTCTCTCCAGTTGGCAGTAATTACAATAACAAATAAACTGCCCTGGGAGATCCCATTACCACCTGAAGACAATGTCGTTAAAAACACACACACAGCAGCAAGCTGTTCCCTGTGGATTTGCCTGATGTCAAGTAAGCCACACATTGAGATGCATGCCTGAGGATGTCCTGCTGACAGGATTACACCACCTCTGTATTTTAGAAATGTAAATCTATAAATCAACAGATTTTACTTGATAGAGAAACTGCAGTGCCAAACTTTAAAGCTCTGCTCTGTCCAAGTATATAAAAGTCAGTGGTAATCTTTTGACAGCACTTTATTTTACAGGTCTATAAATTCCAATTTATTTCCAAATAATTTCCTAAGACATTTCAGAGAAAGAACCCTATAATTTGGTACAAATTATAAGTGAAATGGAGAGTGATTTGTTGGTACACTTCCAGTTATTTCTAAAAGCTTGAACAAACTTGAGGCTTTTATCCAGAGGACAGATGGTGAACTGCACATGCAAAGTGTGAAATCTGTGAAACCACACATTCAGCATATATGAAGAACACCATTTCCAATAAATAATAGCAAATGTTGAGTGATGAAATTAATGAAAATTAATCTGGAGGCCAATGCTAAACGTAACACAACTCAGTAGACAAACTAAAAAAAGACTCTCAAGCCTTTGTCTCTATTTCTCTGTAAAGACCAAACTACATAGATCTTTACAGGAAACTTGCAAGAAATGATTTGAAAATATTAGGCCGCTAAAATAATGTGTTTCCAGTAACAATAGAGGCTTTCTACACTATGATATCTTTGTCATACTGCAGTCAGAAGTGACAGTGTAGGTGTTGTACACACACACACACACACACACACACAGACACACCTCTCCTCGCTCAGTCCAGAGGTAAAGCAGTACAGAGGAATGCAGTGACTGTCGGAGAGCCTGCCTCCTGCTAAAACCCCGGCAGGGCAGAACAATAATGCGCTTTTAAACAGCTGAGAGCTGCAACCTGTTTGAAAAGTGGAGATTTACGGCTGTTGCAAATGCTGACGAGCCTTTAATCCCGATACCCGGAGCTGTCTGCTCCCTGAGCTGGGCTGCCAAGAGGAAACAGGAGAGAAACAGAGACAAGTTAAACCATCTCATCCTGATAAAGCCTGGACTCACCAGCCACAGGGAGGGAGCGCTCTGCCACCTCTGCAGGTCTAGATGCAACCTGGGAGATGCATGATGTGTGTCTGAATATCCTGCTGTGCTCTGAACAACTGAGGATTCAAAATAAAGAGCAGCACACACAGCACAAATTCCTCTGGAATTTACATAACAAAATGCTTTCTGAGCCATGCATGTGGGCCTGAGTCTGTGCGTGTGTTTGTACACACCTCTGTGCCAATCTGAATACAGCTCACAAACCAGTTTAACCCCATTGTCAGTTCAACCAGGTCAACAGGTGATGCAATGTCGGTTGAACAAGGTTTTCCACTTGAGGAGCAAATGCATTGTATTCTTCTTTAGTCTGAGTGCAACCTGCCTGTGGATTTATTTTATATGTGTGATGGTCATTTTGGCTATTTAGATTCAAACCCACAGGCACAGAAACATTTCCAGGAAGAGTTGCAGTTTTAGAAATACCGGTACTTGTACAGGATGACTTGGGAGCCCAGTGGGCAGAGGCATGTGGCATGTAGTTAGTGTGTGACGTGGTTCCAAATCTGTCCTGGGATTTATTTTTAGCCCTGTCTGGGGAAAGTGCCACATAAAGCTTATCAAATTATGATTTATGTGTAATTTTGTAGAAAAAGGTCGTGCTGACAATGTCAATGTGACCAAAATGTTTCCTTTTACACACTGTCACCTTCTGACGTGAATGAGGTGGATCCTTTTTGGGATCTGAGGAGCTTTGGTACAGCCATGCTTTAATTGTCTTTACAGACTCTGAGGGAGTGTTTCTAGTCACAAGGACAGCTGTGGGTAAGTGAACGCAACACTCTGCTCATTGCACAAAGATGGAAGCCGATACTGTGATCCTTCGCTCACCACGGAAATCTCAATGATATCACAACAAACAAAAATCACAGGCTTATGATCTGACACAGAGATGGAGAAACTGCATGATGCCAAAGCTGTGAGCATGTGGAAAAGTACTGGCATGTTGGCATCAGACTGGCATCACCGATAAGAGATGGTGACAACCCAGTGGCTGAAAGGACTGTGTTACATCCTGATTTCCAGTGTTTGTCTCAGGCTGTATGGCCTCCTCCTCCCCCAACTCTCACATTCCTGATTATGGCATTTCTCAGCTGTGTCAGTGAGTTAGGGGGGGATGGTAACAACCAGGAAAAAAAAGGGAAAAAGAGACCTAGTATTCCACATAAATGCCTGCGCTAAAATGAGCTCGTGTGGGCAACTGATGCCCTGGATTCTGAGGGCATTTGGGGGACACACGCACAATCGCACAGCTCCCACAACACTGAACTAAACGCGGCACTTAGCAGCCTCCTCTGTTCATGTGTCTTTGGCCACTAATTAGAAACCCCTCCAAGGAAGGGAAGGGTCAATATGCCACATGTACAGATTCACACAGATGGAGATACATGTCAGCTACAGAAAAAGAAGAACTAAAGCAGAACAGAGAAACGTGCATCATCGAGGCTGAATAACCCTCAGTTTCATTTTATTCATATTAACAGTGGCTGAAAACAGTTTGACCATTTTGGTTCCATCTTTAAATGTTATACGACTTCTTCTTAGACATGTGGCTGTTTGCCTTGTGATGATCACTGACTTAGTGCTATGTCACTGAACAAACTCCAGAGATGCTAATCAGAATAAAAAGAGTCATAAGTGAAACAATCTCTCCCAGCACAAAGAGAACTATCTGAACACTGGCTGAAAGGAAATCTGACTAAACACAGTCAAATCTGAATAATAATTTCATGTACCAACACCTGACAACCATAGGTACTGTATGTGAAACCTGATGGAAACAGAATAGTTGTAGTTTTGAGCACATACAGTTATAATCTAACTTCTTAATCCAGTGACGCAAAGCGACATCAAAGCATCTCACAGAAAGTCACAAAGACAGCGGACGTCTAACAGAAACAGCCAGAAGGCAACACAACAATCAGCCTGAGACACTGAAGGGCTAAACAACAACAACAACAACAACGGTTACAGTTAGCTGGATCCTCGCTGACATGTATGACTGACATGTCCCACACAGTAGTTTCTGGAGAGGATTCTACTAGCAGCACTGTGTACAATCTTATTCTGGAGAAATCATCAACCCAATACATTTCCATTATCATCTGACAGTGTGAAATGTAGGAGGATTTAGCTCCTTACACTGTCTTCACAAATCGTTATTATAACTAATGTATCCCATAAAAATCCAAAACATTTGTACTTTTAAACTTTCCCAGTGTGAATATTCACAGTTTTCACATGTTATAATACATGTAAATTACTCTAAAATACAATGAATGCCTACTTTGGCAACACAAACACTGTCATCACTGTGAAATCACCAGTTTACATGTCAAACATTTTGTTTGGAAACAGTCAGTCAACTAATCATGTAACTGTAGTTGGTGACTGAAAAGACGCTTTAAGACAAGAAATCAATTTCCGACCACTAGACGAAGACGGGTGACCTCTCCTTACCCTTGGCTGATGAGAGCTCTTGCTGTACCTAGTGGGCATGTTGGATGGCACTGGTACGGGGCCTGTGGTGCCACGGAGCACCGCCAGCCAGATGCAGCGAGGTTCAGGGGAGCTGCAGTCCACCCCCACTGGGTTCTGGAAGCTCCAGTTAGACCTGGCTGGAGCAGGGCACGGGAGCGTAGCGGCAGGCATCGAGGCGTGGAGCTTGCTCAGATCTGCATCCCTCTCTGCCCACATGGGCTGCTTAGACGCTCAACTAACTAAACAAGATGATGCACAAAAAAATGCAGTAGATTCACTCAAGAACAGAGAGGATGGGTGGTTTTAGTGGTGCCTGCAAATCCTCCTCTTGGATTCAGTTGTTCCCCTCTCCTGGATCCAATCCATCGCTGTCACCACAGAGACGCCGGAAAGTTTAATCCCACAAGTTCCACATCACAACCTATCAGTCCTGACCTCCGGGAAGCAGCTCCGAGACTATAACACACACTCACACACTCTCAGAGGGGTTCAGTTCAGAGGAAGGCAGAAGGCAGACTCCGGGAGAGCAGAGTGTGATGCAGGGCTCAGAGGTAGGTCTGGTTTTACTACACACGCACACACACACACACAGAGAACAACTGACAGCGTCCCTCCTGGTGGAGCTCGGTGATGATCTGCATACAAAGCCACTCTGTCCACCCCCTAAACACACACTGCTGTCCCAGAGGGCCGGAGCCTCTGTCTCTCCTCCCTCCTACTGCCTCCCCTCTCTCTCTCCTCTCTCTTTCACTTTGCCTGTATCTCTAGTGCCAAACTAATCTCTTCACCTCACACTCATCTTTTTCCCAAACTCTGATTCTTTATCTCAGCAAGCATCAAATACTTCATCCCTCACTCGGCGCCTGCTTTTCTCTTTTGCTTCGTCTTTCTTCTGTGTTTTCAGTCTGTATCCAAACAATCAGTCGCTCCCTCCACATGAACCAGTCTGACAGTCATCAACAAGCAAACAACTGTACGGTACAGTAAACTCCGGTCTAATCCAAACACACCGGGCATCACCGAGGCCTGACGATAGGGCTGAATCGGAGCCCTGGGACCAAACGTTGGCTCTCCTGTGGGCTGCTGCTGACAGGTGAAATCCGCTGGAGATCTCTCTCTGTTGCTGCATGAAGAGGTGTCCACACGTGTGCTGCATGTGTGTGTGAGCGACACTACCACACTGACAAAGCCATGATCCCGGTGCGACGCTCCATAAAAGCCAGCCCCATGTCTCCTCCCCTCCGGTTAGAGCGGAGGAAAAAAAAACGACAAAAAAAGAGAAAGAAAGAGGCTAATTTCCAGAACAAAGAGAAAAGAAAACATTTCCCTTCACTGCTTCACTCCCTTTCTCTTTGCTTAAGAGGGGAAAATATAGAGGAGGGAAGATGATAATGACAGGAGAGAGTGGAAAAAGCCGGAGGAGAAAGCAAACGAGAGCAACAAGCACAGCGGCTACTGGATGTCAGCGTGACCTCCTTATCAAAACTATACTCCCTTTCTCTTTCTCACACACACTTCTATTCACAGGATCCACCCATACAGCACAGTGACACCTAAATACCATGCCGCTGAAAAGTGACCTGCCCCCTCCCATCTCCCTCCCGTCCGGCCGCCCACACAGCGGAGTTCTCACCAAACAGCCAGGCATCCAGGGTACAGGTGAGAGCGGCAAACAGGTGACCATGTCGTCGCAGACTTTCATCCCCAACGCTCATCACTGTTAACACGGCATACATCCGTTACCAGCGAGGCTAGACGGGTTTCACCTGCAGCACAGGAAGGCAAGTATCAACTTGACTGGAGAGGGCGGTCATCGGCAGACAGACCGTACCCTCTGGATATGCTGCTCTTTGCCAACAAGAACACGCACTGCAGGCTCGAATGGTTTGTAAATACCAATGAGGTGATAAATGCATCTGAGGGCTTGAGAATATCAGGCATCACAATGTAAATATCCACTATGATAAACAGCGATTAATGATTTGGCCATCTAACATTATCAGCTGCATTGTTTTGTTCTCATTTTTTAAATATTTTTCTTTATAGCAACAGATTCATACCCATATGTATCGTATATGTTGATAGTCACAAATCACCACACTGAGCTTATTTGCAACACTTTTATAAAATGTATAACACTGTGCACTAAAAATACATAATGGCACAAAAACAAACAATGAATAGAAAAGATCAATTCCAACAAAAAAAACCTGAAATTAATTTTCCTTCTAAGTTGTCAGTGGCGCTTCTCTACATTTGGGGGACTCAGACTAAAAAAGATAAAGTGATACCACAGAATGTAGTGGTTCCACGTGGGGTTTTAGACCTGTAGTAGCCCCGTGGAGCTGTTTTATTGAGTGAATTTTCACTGACAAAGCTGTACACAGCACTGCCAACGGTTTCATAGTATTCCACTAACAAATAGGTGACAACACACCAGGCTATGCTGCAGCCCCAAGGAAGAAATAAACTGCAAGCTAAAGACAAACCTTTTAATCAATGCAAGGTTTAAAACACTCGAAAACTCAACTTTGCAAATGTTTTACGTGGCATAAAATGCTTTCAACTGAATGTAAACATATGTTTTCAAGAAAACTCCACAGAGCCCCTTTAAGACTCTGTATGGGTCAAGCTCCAAAACCCTGGATAGTAGTTTACACTCCCCGTGGTGCAACTTGATAGTGTGTTTTCCTTAGCTCCTTCACATCTGGTTAATATCTCTGCCTATAAAGTTCATGTTCTCAGTTTATAAAACATTTTCGATTAAAATATGTGTGCCCTTTTCAAAACATTATCAGTGCTACCTCAGCATGTCTCTGGGCGAGGTATGATGTGTTTATTTCTGTTTCTGACAAAAAAAAAAAAAGAAACATTGAAATGTTTATCACGCTATCTGCTTCAGGTCAAACCGGACCAAGCAAGGCTGCAGCGCTACAACCCCTAAGAAGACTGAACTGAGTGAGTATGTACTGTATATATACACACACACACATGCACAGACCATTTACATGTGAACACAAAGGTTGCTGCTGCTTTCATGGGTGGACATACACACAAACACATGTCACATGTCCCTCTGAGTCACAGCGGAGTATAAATATACCAGACTATGTAATTAGGGTTCTTCATAAAGTCAGAACACTGTGGCTGTGGGGGGTTTCTGCTCTCTCTGTGGTGCAGAGCAGGGCTTTGGGTTTGACACACCGCCAGGCGGAACCGCCCTGTGCAGAGGTAATCGCTGGTGGACACAGCAGGAGGTCAGACTCTTCTGACTCTTCTCAGGCCACAGGAGGGAGATACGAGAAAAAAGTGCCACACTCGTGTATCTAAGAGGACGTCACAGACGTGGGCTCATGGTGCATCTCTGGTGAAAGGTTTAATAACTGAAAAGTGCTCCATTTGACAGGGGCAGTGGGAACTTCATCCTCACTTCACGTTTCATTTCAAATTCTTCACAATAACAATTAGTTTTAGCAGAGGATGGAGCAGGGGCTACTTTAGAAACAAAAGCTCTCTGTCTGTCCAGCTCCCTCTCTTTCTCCTTTTCATAAACCATGGAGGCATTTCTAAAAAGAGAAGGGTGAGTGTGAAGAGGTCAAAGACAACAAGAGGACGAGGAAAGAGAAATGAACAAACAATACATAGAGGACACGCGGTCACACATGAAGAGCTGTGACAATAGCAACCCTCCATCTGGTGACCCACACTGTCTACTCCACTGTTTGGCTGAAGCAGGCCTGAGCAGGCAGACAGCTGCATCATAAAGCGGATTGTGATTCCGATTTTGATCTGACTGGTAACTTTCTGTTTGCTGAGTAAACAGACTGCACCCCAGAGACAGTACAGACTGCATATTAGCAATTTTTATCGTAACCTGGCAGCACAAAGTTCTTGAAGCCAGGAAATCAAAGGCCGACACGTGCTGCTAATCTCAGAGGAGCGATGTTTTGTTGTCTCCTGCCCCCTCTGCTCCCTGATAAGAAACACACCAGTGGAAAGTAAAGGTGTGAGGGTGGCGGGAGGTAACACAAGAGTGCAGCACGGTTGTTGGCGTAACAGCCAGATTAGTTTGGTGATATGCTTTAATCTCCTTAATACTCATAACATAACCAAGAGATTAAAGCACTGAGCCTCCACTGCGGCTGCCTTGCAAGACAAAACAGTTTTTCCTCCTCTCTGTTGCACCTACACATTAAAACAGAGCTGTAATAAGCTGAGGCTTGACAGGAAATACAGAGTAAAGATGAACTCAGCTGCATACCGCTGAGTGAGGACTGGTGAAGGACAGGCTGGGTTTGACACACCACATAAAACTCATACAAACTGACACAACAAACCCAAGGATGAGATGAACAAGTAAACAACAGTAAAAACAGCTATTTTGTTTGTTCAGTCTTTAAAAGCAGTGAGGTTTAACACCCAGTCCCAGTGTGTAACCACTGAGTTGACCTTTCTGTCTAGACAAACGTTATCAGTAATCTGTGCAAATTAATTCTCTAAAACAAGGCACTTGGGTGAAAAAACTGGCACAGCTGTTTTAAGCAGGTTAATTTTAACTTTAATCTGCAGTAAATCCCCATGACACAGAAGCTATAGGCCTAATTGACCGCACTCAGGGTGTAGTTACCACCTGCAGCCACTAGAGTGCAGCGACAACACAGAGTCTGAGAGCTGATGGGTGGGAAAACGCCCGGAGGGCACTGGGACGCAGGACGGAGCGAAGGGTGGAGAGTCCACATGGGGCCACATACGATAGCACAGTTTACACAGCCGTGTCTGGCATCAGGATGTGTGTGCAGTGCTTTCTGACCTACAAGAGGTTATCAGTGCTTTTATGTCAGTTACTAATGAATAACATCAGAGAGAGAGAGCAGCTGGAGATCAGAGAGGTCGCACCTGTTGTGGGTGCCTCTGAAGCAGCCTCAAGAAGCCCCAAGACGAGAGCAGGTGGACTCAGAGATGTGTGAGGGTCAGATATCACATCAACCCACAGCTGATGGGAGCTGGGTGGTCCTCCCCCCTCCCTCCCTTTATCTCTGACTGACCGGGACAAGAGCAACAACGACGCACAGCTCACTCCTGGAGGATCAACACACTTCAAGCAGCCCACCTGACCGTGTTCCTCTGCAGGACAGCATCATGTCTGCATTCTTCACATATGTCTGTGTGTGTTAGACTGGGCTTCACTGGACATGAAATCAGTCCATGTGAATGTTTTCACCAACATTTCACTGGACTAACATTTCAGAAACAAGTATTCCCTCTTTGTTCAGCTTTACGTCACCCCCTCTCTGTTCCAAGATACACATTCCACTTACTGATCACATTTCATCAATCAAATACACATACAGTACACACAATGGCATTTAAACCTCTGTTGAAACAATTACTGTAAAGCCAATAACTATATAATAATCTATTATTTTCTCCATTAATCAATTGTATGAAACATTAAACATTCGGCAAATACCAGAAAATGGCCATCACAATCTCCCAGTACCCACTGTGACATTTTTACATACTGTTTCAATCCAAATATAGTTTGCCATCACAGAAGACAATGAAAACCAGCAAATCTTCAAATCTCAAAAGTTTTTGGCACCGTTGCTTAAATTATTTGAACACTGACTCTATTATCACAACTGTTGCCAATTAAACTATTGTGTATTCATCCATTAATCTGCTTAATTTCTGAGATTAATTGATCACTGTTACCAAAAAGCTAAACATTTGCACTTTTCTGCTTCTGAAGTCTAATAATTTACTGTTTTATTTGGACCAAATGTTCTGACAAAACAAGAAATTTCCTTTTTTTGTTTTGTGACTTTTATTCAGAATTTTACACACTTATAAAATAAACTGCATTTTTTCATAAAATGACACAAATGTGTTGTGTGAGTAACAAACCAAAACCTAGACAACAATGTAAAACTGTACCAGTTTGGTATGTTTGGAAATTTTGTTCAATAAATGATTTAAGCAATCAAATGATTAACTACTGATTGAGACAAATTATTTATCTACTGATCTACTTGTTTCATCTCTACAAAGAATATGCCAGAATTTATACATGACCACATATTCACTGAACGTTGGATCAAACTAAGTACAGACAACCAAGAGACAAAACAGCCCTTATGGGATTTATAACATAAAATGTTACTGGCTCACTCAGGACTGTGGACATGTCTATCATGTTACATCAGCTGCAAGGGAATGTGGGATAC